ATCTTCTTTTTGCTTTAAAATTTAAAATCTTGTTTTCGCTTTCTTAAATTCCAAGAAAAACAGTTTATTTATTTATTTATTTTGTATTCTATATAAATACAATAATTAAATACAATTCTGTGGCTCCTGCTCAAATATAATTCAGACTCAGCATTGCATATCTTGTGATGTGACTATTGCAGATGTACGCATTGCGATATTGATGCTGAAAAATATATTGTGCAACACTAGTCAGTGGGTGCATAAATTAAAGGGATAATTTACTCAAAAATGTGCACAGTGCTGAAAAATCTGATATTAATTACTGATCATCATGTCGTTGCAATCCCTATAAGACCTTCGCTGATTCTTCAGAGCACAAAATAAGATATTTTAGTTTAGACTAAAGTCTAGATTTTATTTTAGATTAAAGTCGAGTCATACTCCATAGACAGCAACAGTTCAGAAACATCCAAATCCACAAAAAAGACCATAAAATACTGTCAAAACATTCCATATGACTTCAGTGGTTCAAATGTAATCTCATGAAGCTCCAAGAACACTTTTGTGTGCCAAAAAAATGGTAAAATAAACTCTGAGTATTTTTTTTTAGCACAAAAGTGTTCTCTGAGATTCATATGATTACAGTTGAACCACTGCTGTCACATGGAATGTTTTGACAGTATTTTTCGTTTCTTTTCTTGACTTTGATTGCTGTCTATGGAGGATGAGGGAACTCTCAGATTTCATCTAAAAATCTTGATATGAAATTTTTGATGAACAAATGTCTCAGGGTCAACAGCACAAGGTATTAACAGAATTGTAATTTTTGGGTGAACTAACCCTTTAAGAGAATGAATGTCAAATGTGCTGTTGCATTAGAACTAAATCCCAATATAAATATTCAATAAAATAATACTATTAAAGCCTGAATATTAATAAATTGTATAAAAAAACAATCAGAAATTTCAAATGTCCTTTAAACCAGGGGTTCCCACACTTTTCAGACCCCCAAAATAACAATGCCAGTGACTCGCGACCCCCAAAATTCTGTAGTGTGATTATAAATATATAAACCCTGCACACAACGACCTACACATACCAATAGGCCCAAGTCTATTAATTGTTTAATTTTGGAGAACGACACTCGGAAACCATCCTTCAGTTAAGTTTTTTTGATGTATGTCAGTGCAAAGGTGTCAGAAAGTTTAACTTGGTGCCATAAAATCAATGTGCGGCATCTGATGCTATTGCTATGTCTTTAATATAACACCATCACTCCAGGGGTCACCAAAAAATACGTATTCGAAAGGCTTATGCTTTATTATTGTTCAATATTAACTTGTAAACAATGTTACTATTAACTACTATTTTGTTCTTCGGTAGTTTATGGATAAAATAGGGTAATTCTAATAGTTTAATCAAATGAATTTGGAAATCGCCAAGCAACCACCCTCCCCTTCTCATTGTCCCGCGAACCCCAGAGCCATCCCGACCCCCACTTTGGGAACAACTGCTTCAAATCACAGTAAGTGTGAAGATTATGACAGAATCATGATGTGCTGATGTTTTCCTCAGGTCTCTCTAGAGCAGGGGTGCTCAATCCTGTTCCTGGAGATCTACCTTCCTGCAGATTTCAGTTGCTACCCATATCAAACACACCTGAACCAATTAATTAGGACCTGAACACCACTTGATAATTACAGGCAGGTATGTTTGATATGGGTAGCAACTGAAATCTGCAGGAAGGTAGATCTCCAGGAACAGGATTGAGCACCCCTGCTCTAGATGTTGTCAGGTCTGTCTGTTCTTTGTCATCAACACCTTGTTCATTACGCTGACAGTCCACTTTAAGTTCACTCCAGCAAGTAACAAACACATCCCGTACTTTAATGAAATATCTCACTGTGTTTGTTCAGACCACCAGTTTGTTTGTGGACATAAACTCTTGTTTGTAACTGTTTGAAATGACATGCAAGACAGGTTGTTTACATCTGAGAGCTTGCAGCACATATACAGTAGGTCTGTGCACAGTGATAAATTCTTTTACCTTATAGGGGAGAGGAGCCTAGTTGTTTTATTTCAATAATAATAAACAGCCAAATGCACTATTACGCAAATGTGTTTGACAGCTATAACTATAACATGTTATTAGAAAGATTGTCTTATAGAGATGATATCCCATTAGGAGGTTACAACAATTTGGTGCGAATCAAGATGTCCTAGAGATGGTATACAAGAACTTGGTTGAAAGTGTTGTGAGTTTTAACATGATTGCATGGTATGGACTGTTGCCAATAAAGGAAAAGCGAAAACTGTGTAGAGAAGTAAAAGTTGCCAGTGCAATTGCAGGTAAAGCGCAAAGACAACCAAATGAAATTTATTAAATGAGAATTAAACAGAAAGCACACGTCATTACTGAAGATTGTTCCCATCCCTTAAATATAAAATGTCAGCTCTTGCCATCAAAAAGACGTTTTAGGCAACCTCAGGTAAAGAAAAATGTGTATCAAATGTCCTTTTTGCCGAGTAACATTAGAATTTTAAATACTGGGTTCTAAGTATGTAAAGGGTTTTAAATAGAGTTTTTAATGTGATTTATGTGACAACGTTGAATGTATTTGTGTTGCCTGTTTTTTCTGTGATGTGTGTAATGTGAATGCTGATGTGGTTGTATTGTTAAGCCAAAGATAAATTTCCACTTGTGGACAATAAATAAAGTAAAAAAAGTAAAGCTTATGTTATTTGAATATATGTAATTAATCAATTGCAATACATACAGTAGCCCAAGTAATGGTTTGATGTTTTGAAATGTTACATGATTTTTAAAAAACATTTTTGGATTGTTGTGCTTCCCAATTGTTTCACTTCTTTTTAACACAACTCATTTATTCATTTTCCTTCAGCTTAGTCTCTTATTTACCAGGGGTTGCCACAGTGGAATGAACCGCCAACTATTCCAACATATGTTTTATGCAGTAGATGATCTTCCAGCCACAACCCAGTACTGTGAAACACCCATAAACTCATTCACACACACTCATATGGCCAAGTTAGCTCACCCAATTCATCTATAGCGCATGCCTTTGGATTGTGGGGGAAACCGGAGCACCCAGAGGAAACCCATGCAAACAGGGGGAGAACATACAAACTTCACACAGAAATGCCAACTGGCCCTGGGACTTGAAACAGCGACCTTCTTGCTGTGAGGTGACAGTGCTAACCACTGAGCCACCCCTTAACACAGCTTATTTGACAATATCTATTTTGACAAAATGCCCCACTAAATCAACAATAATTTTTTTATACATGCGCAGTTAAACAATAAGGGTTGAAATATTCTAACATTATTTGTGAAGCGTGACAACTAACCATTTCTATTCTCTCTCCTTGCAAAATGTTTAGTGGACAAGGTTAAAGAATGTACAGTATAAACGAAGATAACACAGAGATTTCTGACACGGCTGCTGCTCTCCAAACACACCATCTGGAATTCATTGACTGCTGAGATCTTGACAGAATCGCTGTAGCCTATATGGATGTCTGTATATAAAGGGGGAGGGCGTCTGTTTGAGATGCAGAAAAAAATAAAAGAGATGGAATTTACTTTATATACACAAGCATTAGTAACTTGCGTGTATTCAGTTTGAAAGAAGAGGCAGTGGGAGTGAAATAATCATTAATCCCGAAAGCAGTTTTTTGTACAATGTCAGTTCTCAAAATTTATAGGCCTCTGATGGGTCATGCTCCTAGCAGGTTCCTGAATTCCTTATCTGTTCAGCTTTAAAACCACAAGTGTGCCTTGCATGTTTCTGCTGTTAATAAGGAGGTCTGTGATATTGATGTGATAGAGCTGAACTGTGCACTACAGAAATGAATATGTGGACAAGCAAACAACCAGGGTACATCAAGGAGAACCAGAATGTCTTATTTACTGATTGCAGGCCAGCTGGTAAACGCCAACCTGATTTCACCAATTAGGACACGTTTCTGCATTAACATCTATGTTGATCCTGAAACAACATTCCAATCAGAATCAAGGGATATGCTTACAGCAGTGGTGCTCAACCTTGCTCCTGGAGATCTACTTTCCTGCAGATTTCAGTTGCAACACATCTCAAACACACCAGACTGTAATCATCAAGTACTGAGTTGCAGCTGAACTCTGCGGGAAGGTAGATCTCCAGGAGCAGGGTTGAGCACCCCTGGTTTGCAGTTAATGTTAAGTGTAGGCTTACAGTTTAATGCATGTCTACATGATTGCTATTAACTATTATTCTCCTCTGACTTTGGGAATGATTTACAGTTATGGTTGGGTTTAGGAGTCGGGAAGAGGTATGGATTTTTTTTTTTTTGAACAACAGTGATGGTCCAGGATCAACATAGATGTTAATACGCAATTGCATCGTACTTGGCAAAATCAACATGTGCACTGTAAAGCACAGTGATCCTATAATAATAATGTGACAGCTTCGATTCTTACATTATATCACTCACAAGGGTGGATATTGGTAATATCTTAAATCTACACATTATTATCTGCATAGCTTTCATGTAAACTTTTGTATGTATTTTTCTGAGATATACAGAACATTATTATGAATCAGTGTGGCTGTTAATAAAACCAGTTTGACTATATTTAGTTTTCTTGGTGTGGACTTAAAGGGTTCACCCAAAAAATAAAAATGTACTCACTATTTTCTCACCCTTAAGTGGTTCTTTATTTTGTTGAACAAAAAATATATTTTGAAGCTGAAAACCACTGACAATTATAGAAGGAAAAATAAATACTACAGAAGTCAAAGGTTACAGCTTCCTTCATAATATAATCTTTTTATAAAATATAAGTCTTCAAAATAAGAAACTCAGAAAGCTTTAAATCAAGTGAAGTGTGAGGAAAATAATTATAGGACTTTCAGTTTTGGGTTACCTCAGTATTTAATACAAAGTTACAACACTTGTATGCCACATGGAAAAGTAAGCAGGATATTTCTGAGAATGAAATATAAACAAAATAATCATGTTTCATTTTTTATTGAACGGCATAAAAATGTTTATAAAAATAAGTGTATACTTTGTGAGGTGTTTTATCAGTGCATTTCTCAGAGTTGTTAGAAATCTCTCTCTTTAGAGTTTACATTGTATAATAAAAACAGCCCTGCCTTAAAGAGCTATGGTATACCCTAAATTATATGATTTGATAATAAATGATACATTTGAAGCAATTTACAAAAAGTTCACCAAATGTACAAAAATGAAAATAACTAAAATTCACAAAGCACACTTCTGGTAAACAGAAAATGAGAAAATATCAATAATATTTACATAGTCAGCTACAAAAGCAGGAAATACTTTTTTCCAATTAACTAAAAAGCAGAGAGTGAGGATATACTACTGCAAATGTATTAGCAAATCTGTAGCAACATGGAAATTTGCATCAAAATTTTCACTCAAACTGCATAACACCTTCAAAGCCGTGGTAAGTGAATGGCTCCAGTGTGGAAGTGCACTGATCCTTTTCCAGACACGCCATTTTGTTGTACTCACAGTCATTTTCAGAGCCCGGAATAAAATGCACACCATCAGGTGAGTGTATGGACGGATCTTCATTGAAATAGTTGTGTGGCCTAATGAGGACACCGCCACCATTGCCCACCGTAACAGTGTTGGGTATGTCTTCTGCATGAGGAATGTGTAGGAAACCAGCAGTGACCCAGGCAACCAAGTCCTAAGTAAGACATAATGAAGATTACTTTATTATTTGCAATAAATCAAAGCACCTGCTAATTAAAGATATTCTGTTGAAGCGCTGCTTTAATACCTCGTTGTCGATTGTCTCATTATCTTCTATATATTTGCTGAAGTCCACAAATGGTTTCCACATGTAATTCTGACTGTATAGACTGCTACTGGTCTGCTCTTCATCTTTATGCTTGGTTATAGCAACCTTATACCTGAAAAAGTAGAAGCAAATGAGAGAGGTTAAAGCAATAAACAGCTCTTTTAAAACATGCATGTGTTTCAGTATTCTGACTCAAAACAATAAGACCTTACCGAGCCCAGGACATAGACTTCTCTGTAGACTCACTTTCAGGCAGGGGGTCTCCAGCAAAGCTCAACACCTGAAGCCTGTAAGAGCGATTGTGGCCCCAGCGATTAGTTTGCTTACTGGCTATATGAAGGTAACGGGGTGTTTTGGCACCATGAAGCATTGCTGCTTCTTTCTCTGTCTTGACTTGTTGCTCCACCAGTCGTGGTATCTTTGCTTTCTCTGTGGGCATCCATGGCAATGGCACCTCCTCATACACCATGTCTTTAGTCTGAAATATATTCTTCTCACCTTTGAAAAGAAAAAGCTCATTTTAAAGCGGTTTTGTGACCGTCAGCAGTAAATTTTAAGCAGTGGTCTTTGCAAGCTGAGGACTATACTTGTTTTTTGGGACAGTCTAGCCACCCAAGATGTTTTTTTATGGCATGTTTTTTTTTTTTACAATAATTCACTTTCATTTATACATGTTAAAATAAAAAGATTAATTGCTTAATGAAAACAGTAATATAATCCTCACTTATATCTTTAATGACAATATATTTGACAACTTGGGGGCAACTTGTCACACAATTTCAACAGGCTTTAATTGTATTATTGTTAATAAAAATTCTAATAATTAATTTCTTAATGTTTTCAGTATTCAATGTTTTTTTCAGTATTCATTCTGTAGTCTCCAATGTTTACGCATAAAAAAATCAAAGGTATCTGTAATTTAATTTTAGTACATTAAATGTTTTGTAACTCTAATCAACGTGCTACACTTACCCAAGATATCAAGGTCAACTTTAAAGCTGATGAAATGCGTATGGATGTTTCCTAGGACGTTTTCTGCAACCTGGTGACCATACTTCAGATTTCCATCAACCAAAAAGGAGGATGATATGTAGCCGGTGGCGTGAACTCTTGCCTCCACTGAGCCACTCTGATAGAAAATGAAGTCCCATATGTAGTCATAGTTCCCTATAGCAGTAATGGAGCGGATCACCAGGGCGCTGTTCGCCATCCCACCGTAACTATTGTGAAAGAAATCTGAGAAGTGTCGTCGCAGAGGTCGCCCGATGTCATGCTCAAACACACAGATGGAGTTTCTGAAACGCTGCGTGACGTTCGTGTCGATGTAGCGGTGCGTGTCTACATATGTGGCCCCGTACGGGCAGTCGATCCCGCGCACGAGCTCGTGAGCGAAGCGACCGATTCCGATACTGGAGTCGAGGAACTTGGTGAGGATCATCCCAGGTGTGGTGGAGCCGTAGACAGACATCGCCTCCTGCACGCTCAGCTCATACGCTATCCTCTGCCCTTCAAAACGAATATCAAACGCTCTCATCCCAGTCAGAGAGCTCATGCCAAATGCAAAGTTCCAGTCTAAATAAACCACCTGGTTGTTTTTAACGCTGAAACGTTTACCTTGAAGATAATACTGTTGTGGTCCTAGGCCAGTAGGCTTTTCCCTCGGCTTTAACGAGGCGAAG